TTCCAGTTCTTATATGCATAAATAAATCTTTTTTTATTTTTTTTTTTAAATCATCAAGGGCCTCCCTGGTGGTGCAGGGGTTTAGTCTCAGCGCTATCAAGCTATCACTAGCAATTGCGTGATATGAGTTGGATCCAGGCCAGGGAGCTGACCTAAATGGCGCAGCAGACCTCTCCTGTCTTGCCCGCTGCTCCCTTCAGGAATGTATTTCAGCAGTTCCACCTGTTCTGCTCCCTACTCTGTCTCTGTTGAATTCTTTCACCCCTGCACCTCTGGCCTACACTCTAGTTCTTGTATGCATAAATAAGTATATTTTTTAAAATACTATTTTCTCACCAGAGGTTTTTTGTTTGTTTGTTTTTTAAATAAATAAATAAATATGTCAAAAGAAAAATATAAAGAAAGAAATTATATACATACACAACAGTGGCATTGTTGAAACCTCCATGTGCCCTCTTATTTTTTTTTTTAAGATTTGTTTATGTATACAAGAACTGGGGTACAGGCCAGTGGTGCAGGAAGTGAGAGGATTCACCAGAGACAGAGTGGGCAACAAAACAGGCAAATATACTGAAATACACTGCTGAGGAGAACAGCAGGCAAACAGGAGAGGTCTGCTGCGCCATATGGATCAGCTCCCTGGCAGAGGATCAAACTCATGCTATAGTGGTAGCTGATAACTTAATAATGCTGTATCTTTAACCCTGTGCCACCAGGGAAGCCCCTCTTCTTCATTCTTTTTCCATATATTCTTGGTTAAAAAGCTATCTTAACCTGTTTAATAATTGTAACTGATTTTTCTGCTTCGCATATAATATATGGGGGCAACTTTTGACAAAGTAGGAAATATATATATATATATATACATATATATATATATATTATACACACACACACACACATAAAGGGAATGCATATTCAGTAATCCTACCTGCCTACTGTTGTTTTAGTGAATTCTTGTTAGCTGTAGGGCTTTAGTGAAGGTTCTTACCATGAAACCTTGGTTTCCTCCATTTCTCATCTGAAAAGAATCTACCTTAAAGGTTTACGATAAAGACTAAATGAAGTCTGCATAAAGACCCTGGCAGTAGTGCCCAACACTTAGATAACGATTTAAAATACAGACCTTATGATTATGCTAAGCAAAAGATAGTTACTGAATGGTTTTGCTCATTTGTGGAATATAAATAGTCGAAGAAAACAATAGCACAACATAACGAGGAATTCACAGACTATGAAAAATATTCTGGTTACCAGAAGCTATAAAGAACTTGAAGGAAGAGAGGACAGGGGAGGGAAAAGATAGGGGATTGTCACTGAAATTTTGTTGAAGGGTGGGTGAAGCATGTGCTTATCTGGAGGTATAAAATTGTAGTCCCAAAAGTGGTTATGTAAACAATTGGCAAACTAATGAAAGTTGTGGAAATCCACAAACGCAGACCTTATATCCTTATACGCAGACCTAATATCCAAGGATGTTACAAAACATCCTTGGGATTGATTTGGGGAGCATACAGTCCTGGGTGAGGGCTCTCCTCAATAACCACTAAGCCCAAAGTCAGTGTCAAGCATCCATTTCCACGTGCATAATGCAGAGGGCTACCATGTACTGACTTCTGATTGCTCTCTCCAGGTGAAGAACATCATTTATCACGCAGTGAAAGATGCTGTTGGCACACTCAAGGCTCATGAATCCAAACTGGCAAGGTCGTAGGTGTGGAGAAATTCCAAACTCCCCTGTGAAGCAGGTCTTTTAACTCACAACACTTACAGGGAACGGCAAGGTTCTCTGCGGGAGCAGAGGCCCTCACTCGGAGCCAGTGTGGTCAGTATTACAAACTCTCCAGCCACTCCTTTCTACGCTGCCTCAACACTGAAGGTTGACACAGGAAAGTCGCACTGTTCACACACACAGTTTCAGACTCTAAGCCGAGGGTGCCACATTCCCATCCTGTGGCCTTTTGGGACTCTGAATTGCTTGAACATCGCTGGGCTTTCCTGCACATTCTCTCGTAATTTGAGATTTCATGGAACCCAGGAAAGTGGGCACACCTTTCTTTTCTTTTACTCTCGTGCCTAGTTCAATAGGAATGTGTTTGGAGATAGGGGGAATCACATAACTTGTACAAGTAGGGGCTCACTGCTTAAACATGCCTGGTGGAATCCTGACTGTGTCTCTGCACATGACCTCTGACACAGCCCATCCCAGGGGACAGGGTGAAGCCATTGCCCACAACCTCTCCCATGAACGCTGGAGTCTTACCAAGACCCAGAAGAAAACCCACTGCTTTCCCAGGAGGCTCCAGGATTAGGAAACGTGTGTACTTAGTGAAAAATAGGTTTGTAGTGAAATAGTTACTATTTCATGAAAGTAGATATTTTTAGAATTTTTGAAATACCACAGTTGTTTTCCTGGATTATGAGGAAAGGCACATTACATTTAGTCTTCCTTTCCGTAAAACTCTTTGAAAAAACTCTTTGAAACCAACAACTGCCCATTATAGCACAGAATCAGCCAAAGCAGAATCCAGAAGAATTGGCTTTTTAGGATTTTTTAGTTTTTCTCCCTCCCATCTCAGTCCTATCTTGAGGGAACAGCCATCCAGGAAAGAACTTTGTCGTGTCTGAACTGGGGTGTGTTCCTTGCACACACTGGTGACTCCCAAGACCATTTTCACGCAGTACCAACGTTCCCATGGGACTCCTTCCAGTTCCAAATGCAAAGGGAAGTTTGATTTCCTACATGAGGCTTTTTGGTTTTTGGGTTTTTGTCCAGAAATATTTTCACTAAACTTTCCAACTCAGTGGAGTTTTATTAAGAATTTATTTGAAAATGATGGAATTTATTGGCCCATAGGTACATTGGGAAATGTATCTTCTTTCCAGCTGTACTGTAGTGCCCTGCAGGCTTGTTTATATGTTCACAGTTACTTTTTTTTTTTTAAATAAAAGTCATTTACTGTAGAATACTTTTAATTTCACTTTCTGTATTTTAATTTTGTCGAAGGGCTGATTGGGATTTCCATGTTCTTATTAAAAATCTAACAAATCTGTTTGGAGTGGACTAAATCCTTCCTGTGCTAAACCCTTCTGAAAGCAAGGCCAGGTTGAGGGCAGAGTTGGAGGTGAAGGATAGTTCATTTTCAGTTCTTCGTTACAGGGATGCATCCAATTTTTATTCTTTCTTTCTGCATGTGTGTTTCCAGTTGGGAGGAAGAGAGACATGCTACAGTGAAGTTGTTATGGTTTAAGAGCTTGGAAGTGAGAGTCGGAACTACATAGAGTTAGATGGTAGGAGGAGAGAGCCTTCACGTGGTGTATGCTAGTGAACGGAGTGAGAAAGGTGGAGCCTTCCTGGCCATGCTGGAGAGAAGGAACCCTGCTGGTGGCAGTCACTGGTAGGATTCCTCAAGCCAGGAGACATGCCTGCCCACATATGAAACAAGTCCTCAGCCCACCTCAGGCTTGGTGGGAGAATACCCAAATGAATTTACTTTTGCTTACTAAGTAGCAATTAAAGTGACTTGAGGGCTTAGGACAGACTGTATTTCCAATTACAAAAAGGCTTTCAGAGGAGAGTAAAGAATAGCAGAGGGTCATCAGATGCTGCTCCCTGGAGCCTGATGGAAAACATCATCCAAAATGTTTGAGTCTGGAAATACAATTATCAAGGCGGAAACAGACCATTGTGTGGTTCAAGGATACTGAATTTGAAGAGGACTGAAATTCAGATACAGAGCTCTAAGCTGTCCTTTCAGCCTGTGTGGGCACAGGCTGATGCTGTGAGGCTGAGGAGGATTACACCTTGACATAAAGGGCAGAAGAACTGCAGAAGCTTTGAAATGGGACAGAAAAGAAAAGCACTGCGGGGGAAGGGGTTGCTGAGGTTGGAGCTTTGTTGCTTTGGTGAAAATCAGGAGGCGGCTAGCCTACATTGTAGATATAAATGTCTTTAGAATTAGGGCACCACCGCACGGCGGTACTTGCCCATGAGGGTGGGACTGGAGTCCCTGGATCCATCTGCAACCTAGACAACAGCCCCTCTGAGAGAGGGTTGTGACACCCTTGTCTCAGTGTGGGGTATCCACCTTTCGAGTTTTGCAGGTCTCTGCTCCCCTGTGAAACTGATAAGGTTGGGGCAAGGAGGTATCCACTCCACTGGAGTAACTGCTGATGTGCCCAGAAAGGATGGGGTGAGCAGGTGCAGCTAACCTTTGACTTCAGGCCTTCTCTAGGTCTTTACAAGGTCTGTGATGAGGGAGGGAGGAGGATTTAAGTCAGCTGTTGGGAAGAGCAGTCTGTTTCCTAGGTTCATATTTTAGCAGCATGACTTAGTGTTTCTACGTGACCCTTAGCGAATTATCGAACCGCCCTACGCTTCCCAGTACCTTATCTTCAACATGAGGATAATTATAACCTCCGCCTTTTAGCATGGTGGGGAGAATTCACAGAAATAATGCAAGTCAAGCCACTGGCACAGGGCCGGGCACAAAGTAAGCACTCAATAAGTCAGAGCTATTATTCTTCGTGAGATGGTTAAGCCTTTCAGCCTGACGTGGGCAGGGCAGCCTGCTGGGATCCGGGGTGGAATGCCATGATGGAATCGTGAAGGCCCCTGTGAGCACTTCAACTCAGCTGAGAAGCCGAGAAGAGTAAACCGGCAATTAGAGGGTCAAGGGCGCATGCCCGAAGAAGCCGGTGCAGGGGGCGCGGTGCCGGGGGCGCGCCGCCGCCGCCGCGGCC